CATGAAAGATGGCATCTCTTTGTTGTTTTAATTTACATTCTTCTCATTTACATTATTTGTTTTAATTTACATTCTTATTATTAGTGATAATCTTTTATAGGCTTATTGCAATAAGGGAACTGCTGAAATGGTAGTAATATACATTACTATAATACCATCAATTGCCTGTTTGTCTTTTGTCAAGTTTTCTACTGCATTGTTGGCTTTTTAGTATTTATTTGAAAGAGCTTTTTGTTTATTGGGGAAATTACCCCTTTATCATAAATTGGAAAATATATTTACAATTAGTCTTTTATTGTTTATAGTTGTTTTGACATAGAGAAATTTGCATATAATATGTATACAGTCAGAATTATCCATTTGTTTTCCTTCATGCATCTCAGTTTTTTATCTTATTTCCTCACTAACGATGATAAAACAATAACCAGTTAGGTTACAGTTACATCTGTAATTTATTTTAATGTAAGGAGTAAGATATGGATCATTTATTTGTTTCTCCAAATGGTAAAATTATTTTTTCCCCCAGAAAATGGCTAATTTTTCAACATAATATCAAATACTCCATCTTTCCCCTATTAATTTGTAGTGCTAACATTTTCACATGTAAATTTCTTATTTATTTCCCCTCAGGTTTTCTTATTTTATTTTTCATTGCTATTCTGTATGGGCTTTTGTTTTCTCTTGTTATGATTTCTATAGGAAAATTTATGATTTTTGCTTTTTATTTTCATAATCAATCATCCTTATTATACCTTAAATTCAAATAGATAGATACGTTCTCATTATGGTTCTTTTTTAATGACTGCATAGAATTCAATCATAGGAATATGCCATCATTTATTAATATATCTACCAATATTGAGCACTTGGGTGATTTTCAATTCTTAGCCATCAAAAATTTAGATGCAATTAACATTTTTAAGCATGTACCATTTTTTTCCTCTCAGTTTGAGTTTCCAAGAGTAAAAGTACTTGGGCATAATAGTTTTATAGCTTTTGATAACTACTGCTGTATATGGATAAGTATTGATGGTGGTTGGATTTGACTATAGTACAAGGAGGGAAAAAGGCCTAAAGCAGGGAAGTTGATGAAGAGTCCCAAGAATAAGGGCTGGAGAAAGTAAAATATATTGAAAAGATGCCAAAGATTATTAATAATCAGGGAGATGCACATTAAAACCACAGTGAGATACCACTTCATACCCACAGGATTAGCAAAACTCAAAAAGTCAGACAATATTGAGAATATTATGTTAAGTGAAATAAGTCAGACTGAGAAAGACAAACACCATATGATCTCACTTACACGTGGAACCGAAAGAACAGAATAAACGAGTAAACAAAACAGAAATAGACTCAGAGATAGAGAAAAAGAAAACTGTTGGTTGCTAGATGGGAGAGGGAAGTGGATGGGGGAGAAGGTGAGGGATTAGAAAGTGCAGATTAGTAGACACACTATAGTCATGGGGATATGAAATACAGTATGGGGAATATAATCAACAACGTTGTGAAGTTTATGTAGGGTGCCAGATGGGCACTGGACTTATCAGGGGGATCACTTCATAGACTGTGTAGATGCCTGACCAATGTGCTGTACACCTGAAGCTGAAGTAGAATAATATTGAATGTCAACTATAATTAAATTATATACATATATGTATATGTGTGTGTGTATATACACACACACACACGTAGTCACAGGAGGTGAAGTGTAGCATAAGGAAGATAGTCAATGGTATTGTAACAGTTACATAAGATGTCACAGGGGTAGTAGCTTGAGGGAGGGAGGTTATCACTTCATGAGGGGTGTAAATGTCTATTATGTTGCTTTGTACACCTGAAACTAATAAAAAAAAGCGGGGGGAAGGAAAATCAGACAACACTCCTTGGTATACATCCCAATGGGAACTCTCTTACATAGTGATGAGATTGTAAATCAGTAAAAATTACTTTGGGGAACAGTTTGGCAATATCCAGTGAAACATGATAATATACTTTATAACTTAGCAATTTATACTTCCAGGGGTATATACAGAGGGTGCCAAAAAATGTATACACATTTTAAGACAGGAAACTAGCTATTAAAATTATAATAATATATCCCAATAACAAAAGATGAATACAAGTCACGTTTGACTTCTGCAATTATAGTACAAGAGGTGCTCAAAGTGGTTACCATCTGCGTCCAGACATTGCTGATTACAGCGAACTACTGCTTGAGCAACGTTGACCAAAGTGTCCAGTTGGATACATTTTTAGCACCCCCGGTATATTAAAGAAACATGGCAAGTACAAGAAAGCTCACAGTAGCATTGTTTGTACCATTCTTCATCAAATCCAAGGTACATTCGCTAGTGGAAAGCACTGCCAATTAAAGTAATTCACATTATAATTTTTAATAAGTGTCTCTTAATTCAGAGATTTTACAATGAGAAAAAAACATGCCTTAGAATTGATGAAATATAGTAATAGCAAAAACTCAGAAACAGCTTAAATGTCCATCACACAAAAGTGGGTAAATAAATTGTGGTATAGTTCACAGCTATGCAAATGAGTGAGCCAGATCTATACTTCTCAATATAGGTGAATCCTATAAACATAATATCTAGTGAAAGAAAAAAACCACATTTACTGTAGAATATATATCCTTTATATGTTATAGCTTATGTAAAATTTAAAACATGAAAAATAATACCAAATAGAGCTTCAAAATACATATCTCTTGTAGAAAAAGAATACAGAAATACATGGAAGTGAGAGCTACGAATTCAGGTTCATGGTTATCCCTAGGAAGGGAGCGGGGAAGTGACTGGGTGAGGAGTGCACAAGGGCATTTCAACTCTGTTACCAGTGTTTATTTTTAAGCTGGGTAGTGGATTCATGGAGGTTCGTTTCATTATTTTCTATACATTTTGTATAAATATTGCTTGCTACTTTTTGAAAAAGAGAAATTCAAATGAGACGCTAAGCAAGGAAGGTGTGCTTTTCTAGGAGTCTGTTTTATTTGGGCAGGAAAGCAATCTCTTTGCCCCTAAGTTGCTCCTACCCATCTTCCCTCCTTCCATCCTCTCCCTGCTGGATAGCTTTGGGTTAAGAGGTCATCCTGCAGGTCAAGTGTTGAGCTCATTTGTGAATTCTTATCCTGGCTTGCAAAGGGTATGGTTTCCATTTCCTTGTGATCTTTCTGCCACCTGCTTCTTCCTTTGCTTTATCTGCTCGGCCTGCCCCATCCTGCTTGCCTTTCCCGTCTCTCAACTCAGCTGTACCCACTGGCAGAGTACAGCTGCCTCTCTCCACCCCCAGGCCTGAGAGCTGGAATAAACCTCCCTTCTCCCAGCTCTTGGCAGGGACAATAACCAATGCTCTTTCTCCATCCCGGTTTTTATCAGATGTTGAAATGGAATGATTCGGGGAATTGTTGGTCCTCCCATGACTGGGAGAGGCTTTACCTATGCTGGGGATGTCACGAAAACAGGAAGGTATGTGAGTGGGAGGTGGATGTGTTACAGGGTTGACTTCCAGAGTCAGGGACCAAAGACCCCAGCAGATCCAGGAGAGAGATGGGGGCAGATGAGAGGGGACTTGGAAGAGCTCTATGCCCCATTATCCTCAAAAGAACCCCCTGAAGATACAAGCATAGACATGTGCCTCCCACCCTTGATGTATCCTGGTTTCCCTAATCTAAAGTCATAAGAGACTCTGTTCAGAAGACAGGAGGGGATACACCCCAAGTAATCCTCCCCTCGCCTCGCCCTGCAGGAGAGCCCCGAGTGGAAACCTGCTGCAGATGTAGTGACTAGGTATATTAGTCAGAACTCCTTCAGGCACAAGTGGCAGAGTAACTAAATCTGAATTCAAATAAGTATAAGGGAGGAAAAAGTGACTTTATCGTCTCATGTAACTGGGAAGTCCAAGTGGTATGTGGGTTTCAGGAATAGCTGGATCTAGTGGTCCAGACCATGTCTTTGGAACCTTCTCTTTTTCTCCCTATCTCTCAACTTGGCTTTTTTCCATGTCAGCTTCATTTCTTAGGCTGAGTCCTTCCATATGGTGACAAAGATGACCAACAGTACCTCAAAGCTAATATCTTCCTTAGAATTCATAATCCAGAGAAAAGAATTCCACCCCACCCCACCCCCAACCCTGAGGTGAGATAGGGCCAGATGCCACCCAGGGAGCAAATCCACCAAGCCACTACCGCGCAAACCCGGGAGCCTTTTTATCNCCTGCTCCCCCCCCCCATATAATTCTAAAAAGAAGAATGAGGAGCGAGATTGAATTGTTCCTGAAGCAATCAATGAATCTAAAAGGAAGGGAATGCAATTGGCCTGACTGGTCAGAGGACCTTCTTTGACAGAGGAAGGAGGAGCCCCCATGATTGACAGCCAAAAGATCCCAAAGGAAAAGGGTGTTTTCTCAGAGGAAGGGGAAAGGGGTTCTGGGAGGTCATTATGTCCACTATACCAAGATCCCACACACAGACTCAGTCACTCCTTAACTTCAGAATTAACCGGAATACTTGGAATTGTCCCACGTAGATTTTGTTCATCTACTCCAAAATAAAATCAGAAAACAATAAAATTATTTTGCCTCAAATAATTATAAAGCCTAGGAGTAATTATAAATAATTATAAATATAAATAATTATAAATCCCAGGTCTGGCATAGCAGGTATATCTCTGCTTCAAAAAATATTTTCCAGGGAAGTTAGAAATAGGATAGCCAATCATTCTAGTTTGCCCAGGACTCTCCGGATTTAGCACTGCAAGTCCCTTGTCCTGTGCAAAGTATGTCAGCTAGTCACCCTCAAATGAGTCTTTAGTTATCATTTGCAGCTAATGAGAGCCAGCTGCAACAGGGGGTCAGGTTTGCACTCTTAGAGTCCAGAATCCTTCCCTCAGAAGATCTGCCTCACCAGAAAGAGAACCAGACACCCCTACCCCCACCCACCACACCCCTGCAAATGCATGTGTATAGAAAGAGGAGAAGGTATCACTTACACTTGACAGGAGATGGCTGCAATACCACCAGCTCCCACATACAGGGACACATGAGGGCTGAGCCCAGGCCTCACCAGGTCCCACTCTGGAGGACCCAGTTAAGAGGTGGCCTTCCCAGACTGCTGAAGGCAGGCAGGGAGGGGTCTCCAGTCAGTGGCTCCTACCCCTTTCCACTCCCCACAGAGTGGAGGTCCCCTTCTTCCCACTGGGCTTATGTCACCCACATCTTCAGCCTCGCCTAGATTACAGCAACCCAATCGCAGAGTCAGCCCCAAGGGCGAGCCCCACCCACCCCGTCACCGCAGGATGCCCTTTGTCCCAGTCTGTCCTCCTGGCACCTCTGCTTTCCAGGCCCTGGTCCTGGATCCCACCCGCCACCCATCAGATCCTATGAGGAGGCTGGGCAGACAGCCAGGTGGGAGTGGGCCTCCCAGAAGTCACTGCTGTTGTAGAACCAGCTCAGTCACTCTCCACTTCCTCAGTCCAAAATTCTTTAGCTCAAACCCGGATTATTACCTTAAGATCAACCAAATATCACTAAAAAGTCCTCAGGGTATTTTACCTGAACCAGTTACAAGGCTTACATGAATCCTGAGTCTGGCAGTGGGGCTGAGGCTTGTGGGGACAGTTAGAAATGGGTCTATAGGGCCATGTACCAGGCCTCCTAGGGGCTGATGACACTAACCCACTTTGGTGCAACAGAAGTTTATTCTCGATTTTGGGCTCAGGGTTCTTTCTCCTAAAGGTCTGCACCACAAGAAAGAGCACATGTTTCCCCCTCCCAGGGCTACACACACACCACACACTCACACACTCACACTGTCTCTCACGTACACAAAGTATACACACTCACATAACACACACACACAATGTGGGGGGCAAGAGGGGTCCCTATCCCTGGATCCTGCTGAGGACAGGACGTAGCTCTGTTTACACACCACCTCCCAAACCCTCCTCATAAGACCTCCCACCCACCCCCCTTACCAAATAGCTTATTTTAGTCACTTTAAGCTCTTTCTTGACCATAACCTTAGCGGTTCCTCCTTTCTGGCATCTAGCACATTGTTTTTACAGTTTGGCATCTGTCACATCTTATATACAGAAGGACCCTGATAATTCCTCATTGATTTTCATTCTGAGCTGATGCCCAAGCATGGTGTGGCCTCTGTGGGCAGCAGGGCAGGCCAGACCCCAGAAGGCAGCAGCAAGAAGGGACTCTGAGGCTACCTGGATCAATGGTCTCTCTGGTGCGTCAGACTCGTTGATGTGACGAAAAGATGCAGATGCCAGGCCCTACTCCTGGGATTCTGTACTGACCTAGTCTAACCTCCCATTTTACAAAAGAGGGAAGTAAGGTGCAGGGAGGGGAAGGAGCCATTTGTTTTCTATCAGATGGCAGAGCTGGAACTGGAGCCCACAGCTCCTGGCTTCCAGTTCAGTGCTCTGTCCCCCAGACCACAGTGCCTTCCTGAACACAAATGATCGCTGAATTTGAAACCAACAGGGAGCAAGCACATTCCATGATTCTGATGGTCCCTGTCAAACCCAGGACTTGGCATGAAGTTCATTGACAATGCCAGGACAGCATTGCCCTCTCCACATCTCCCTTGTCCTGCGAGATGGTAGGGAGGGATTCTCAGGAAGTGACTGACTGCAAAAACTTGGCTCAGGGGCTTAAACCCGATAGAACCACTGGAGAATTATGTTCCTCTGTTAGAATTTGTCTGGAACCAAATGTAGTCAAAAGACAGAGCAGCAGTGAATGGGATAGAACGGAACCATCGGATACAGTTCTTAAAACAATGGCACCAGTTCAAACCTGACCCTGTCAAATTACCCCAGAGCTGAACTTGCTGGAAGACCTCCCCAGCCGCCTCCCTGTGGAGTCTGGGAGTCCCACCAGGTGCTCTGGCTGATGAGCTGTCAGGGGACCTGGCAGAGTTTGGTGGCAGTGCTTGCTCAGCCAGTCTTTTTCTTTTTTTTGTGATCAGCCAGTCTTAGACCAAGAAAAGGGCTTCGTTACCACTACCCCTTTATAGATTCCCTCAAGCTCAGTAGGAGAGGCCTGTGGGATAAGAAGTCAAAAGGGAAACCAACAGGAGAAAGAGTAGTCTGAGGGGAAAGGAAGAGAAGAAAATGAGAGAAAGGAGGAAGAGTGGACAAGAGCCAAGGACAGAAGGCTCTGCCCAGGGGACTGGGATTGTCAAATGAGCCAGATATGACATCTCTCTCAGCTCTGAGTCACTTTGTAAAAATCAATGAGATCTGGCCATTCTATTATACTCATAGGTATTTACCCCAAAGAAAGGAAAAGTTATATTTACATGAAAACCTCTGTGTGAATGTTTATAGGAGCTTTATTCATAACTGCTAAAAATTGGAAACAGCTTTATCCTTCAATGGATGAATGGATAAACAAATTAATATTTTTACAATGGAACAGCTACATGACAATTAAAAAGAACAAACTCAATACAACAGCATGGATAAATCTCAAAAACCTTAAATTAAATAAAAGGTGTCAGCCAGAAAAGACTGAACATGATGATTCCATTTGCATGAAATTTAGAAAAGATACTTCTAATCTACAGCAACAGAAAGCAGATCAGTGCTTCCCTGGGACCCAGAGAAAAGGGAAGGGTTGATCACAAAGGGCTATGAGGCAACTTTTGGGGGTGATGGAAATTGATCTCTGTTTTTATTGTGGTGGTGGTAACAGAGTTGTTTATATTTGTCAGAACTCATCAACTGGGTGCATTTTATTGTATTAAACTATACCTTTAAAAAGTTGATTTTTAAAGTAAAAAAGTAAGTAAATTCACCAAATGATCAGTTTGCCAAAAGTGCAATCATACTATTTGACTGTCTGCCAACAGCCCTTCATGTGGCATTCACTCAGCCTCCAGCAGCCCCAGCTGAACGATTCCCACTGTTGGCTCACACGGCCCCACCATCTCCCACAGATCCACCACTCTCTTAACTTCTGGGTCTTCTCAGGCGGCCTTGGAGAGTTTCCATGAGTCTGCCCAGGCCTCTTCCCTCTACCACCTGGTGGGCAAAGGACACCTTTGTGAGGCTGCATCTCCCAGAGGTCAGTGGGAAACAGGACACATGTGTTCTCCAACCGGGGATCCCAAGTCTCTGACTATTACACCTTTACTGTTGGGTGGGAGCGGTAGGGGCACACAATAGGATAAGTGACTGCCAAAGTATTTGTCCATATCTATTGTTTATAGGAAAACTGAAGCCTAGAGAAATTCAGAAGCTAAGATTGAACTTCTGTCTCTCTTTGTATTTTGAAGGTGGCCTCCTTCCTAGGGCAGTACAGGCCAGGGACCAATTTGAGGGAAGAAAGGACCATAGGGATTATAGGGACGAAAACGTTAAGACAAAGCTGCATAGGTTAAATTGTTCACATTTCATCTTTTTTTTTTTTTAAACTTTCGATAAATCTTTGGTTTTCAGAAGAGGACATTTTCTAACCTAAGAGTCCCTTACTTGCAAGATGTCTCTGTTCAGAATCAGTTTCCCCAGAATCAGAGCCCAGTGCTGGGTGCCTCGTGAGTGTTCAGTGAATGTTCTCCATCAACGTAATGTCAGTTGCTGCCACTCAGTAATGTCATGTGCTGCTGGCACTCGGCGCTGTGTGGAATGCATAGCCGGGTGACTCCTGCCCAACTTGGCCTCTGCCAACATCCAGCCTCATGTTCAGCAAGAGGCCCTTCCACCCCTATGAAACAGCTGGAGGGAAAGGCAGTGTTTACCTGTGTAGACTTAGCCTGACCCAGACACAGATGGTCAGGACTCTGCACTGGCCTGGCTGAGCTGACAGAGGCCAAGTGAAGAAATGAATGAATGGAGCCCACAGCCCTGCCTCCCACCATCTCCCTCTGACACAGTCCCTGCTCTGGATCCCTCCTCCTCCTCCTCTACAGACATGCAGATTTATCTTTCTGATCTCCATCCCCTCGCACCCAGAGTGACAGCTAGGGAATCTAAGGCAGCATCTGCATGGCGCTGGGGGCCCTGGGAACCTGCAGGCCATTTGGATAGGCTGAGGCCCAGCAGCAATTCCTCACAGGCGAAGAGAGAGAGGCATTTGTCAGGTGCCTTTTGCAGGCCATGGCTTGCCCCAAGGAGCCATAGAGGGCTGATGAAGGAGGCACACCTCCCTTCCAGCTCACCCAAACCACACATGCTGATGGTCGCCTGTTCTACCTGTAGGAGTGGAATTTGCTGTCTTTCTTAAACACTCTTTCCCCAAAACCCTCCCATGAGTCACCACTGCCAACAAAAGAATGTAATTCTTGCACTTGATATCCAGGAACTTCGTTAATCTCCTTTCTGAGTCTTTATACCTTTGCTCATGCTGTCTCATTTGACAAAAATGCTCTTTCTTGCTTCTTCATGCATCAGGTCCCTAGCTTTCCTTCAAGATCAAGTTCAAGTTCTTCCAACTCCAGGAAGCCTCTTCTGAACTTCCCCGCCGTGGGTGGCCATACTCTCAGCATATTTTCACACCTTTCCTCATATGTGACAGGATCATCTTGAGACCATTTCATAACCTTCCTGTCTCACCCAACGTAGGCTGTAAACTCCTTGAGGGGAGGGATGACATCTTGGTGTCTCTGATGTTACTGTACTGTGCATCATACCTCTTACAGTAAATCCATTACTAATTAAGGTTGGGCCATGTACTGAGACCTTTTACCTCATTTAGTCTTCACAACTACCCTATGAGGTAGGAACTATTATGTTTCTCATTTTACAGATGAAGAAACTCAGGCTTAGAGGGATAAATTTACCCAGTTTATGCAGCTAATATGTAGCAGAATCAGTGTTCAAATCCAGGCCTATGAATCTTCAAAGTCAAGACCCTTAACCTACTAGACCAGGGGTCAGCAAACTTTTGAGATGGAAGAGCCAATCCTGTC